ACCTGTATTCTCGCCGGCATAGAGGAAAGTATGACACTGGAAGTTGATCGAGTGCAGCCTATTTGGACGAAGACGTTCCACAGGTTACTTAGTACTATATGTGAACGTTGAATAACTCAAAGTGCGGATAATATATCAGATACGACCCCATTGCACAGTAAAACCAAGAACATGGAAATGCTAAAGATACTTGCATTTATTCCCCATCTTCGTCACTAGCCATCCCAGCTATCAACTCGCGTGGGCGAGAAACTAAGAAGGAAATGGTAATCGAAGCGAACGAAGTGTTCGCTGCGTTCGCTGCTCAACTCTGTATCCTATGGTCAAAAACTGTGAGTATAGCCCAGAATGCCCCCAAAAATTTCTTCAGAAGTGCACGAAACCTTTCTCTAGTTCAGGTCCATCCTGGATTCGCACTCATATTTTTCTGTATCTCAAGTTGCTGCTTATTCTTGTGGACAAAAGCTGCTTAGAGTGATTCTCCAACCAAACTGTAACTCCATGGTATAGCCAGAGCAGCTGCGACAGTTGTTTTTTCCTAAGGCCCGATATACCTCGTCATCGAACACCTTCCCGTTATGTCAACTCTGAGATCCCAATGTACCGTATAAATACAGTGGAAAGAACAGAGCAGCATCCTCCATCAAACATAACATTCTTACATTTTGACTCCACCAAGAATTTCTCAGCTCTACATTGCAGGATGAGGCTTCTCATACTCGCTTTGCTGGTGGCTGTCTGCGTGAGCGCCGACTTGTTGGACCTCAAAAAGACGCTTGCGGTCGGAAGCCTCAAGGGTCTGATCAAAGAAAAAGTGACAACCAAGATAAAAAAGACAATGGATCGCATCAAGGAGGTATTATGTTTCTGACATTCTGTGAGAACTCAGCATAGCTCCTTGTAAATATATGTAGGTTTTCAATGGTAACATGCTCGAATTCCGGAAAAAGTTGAGCGGATACAAAGACGCAATTTTGAAGAAACTTACTCTGAGCCCAGAGCAAAGAAAGGAGCTTGTGGAAAGGCTAAAGGTTTGTACTCCCACTTTTTCATGAATTCAGAATAAGCTAATCGTGAATATTTTAGATGTTCAAAAGGAAAACTGTCGATCAAGTCTCACCAGCTGGGGACTCCATTGAAGAGATTAACCTGAGAAGTCAAATTGCAGGAGCACTCTTCCAGGGAGATATGGTTCTTTCGAAGTTTGTACCTATACTTTTTTGATTTCTTGACTTTGACAACTTGAATCGTATTAAGGGAACAACAAGATCAAATTGCTGCGGATGTTAGTGGAACTCGTACCAAACGGCAAACTTACAATGATAAAAATTACCCTGGTAGAACGATGGACGAAAGGGAGTCAACTACTTCTTCGACAAAAGTGCAAGTCAGCTGCCCTATAGTTTTCTCGTTCATGAACGCAAAAAATATTGGCAACAATTAGCTTACTACTTGCAGGTGAAAAGGTTAAGAGTGTATTCAAGAAAGCGGCGCGTGAATGGATGGATAATACCTGCATCAACTTCACACAAAGCGATTCCGGTAAAGTTGGAATAGTTGTCGATGATGGTAAGATACCACTGGACGCCGAAATTTCAGCTCAGGACAGCATTCGTGTGTTCATGGAAGATGGATGTTGGTCTTTCGTTGGCAGGCTTGGAGGTGTACAAAACCTCTCACTTGGCGAAGGCTGTGAATCGGTATGAAATTAGGAAATCTCTATTCTAAGTCCACAGGACAATGAGTTCAGCAGGGAGAAAAGTTGTTTTTGTAAAGCCCTTCTGATGCAGTTACGTTCTTCTATGCTTCAGATCGGAACGGCCGCTCACGAGCTTGGTCATGCTCTTGGATTCTTCCACACGCACTCGAGACATGATCGCGATCGATTCATTACAGTTGACAAAGAAAACATCAAGGTAAGTTTTGTATTGCTGGAAAAGCTTGATAATATCACTAACTACTTCAGCCTGACTGGCTAGACCAATTCACACTGGAGACGCCAGCAACCAATAACAATTATGATTTGACATATGACTACGGTAGCCTGATGCATTACGGAGCCACAAGGTGGGACGCTGATGAACGCATAATTCTAGCGTTGAAGGGAATGAATGCGCTTTTCCAGCGCCACCAGAAACAAACTGCCTACCATGGTGCCAAAGGACGTGCATTATACGCAGACCTTGGGATCTCCTTTCATTTCGTTCTACGATCTTCTAATGCTCAACACCCACTACAACTGCACTGGTAAGTAGCACTTTGGAGGGTTGTTACGTCGTAATGCTTATGAACAGTATTGTTTCAGACGCTTGCAAAGGTAAATACACGCGGTGCCAGAATCACGGATTCGCTCATCCTCGTGATTGTTCCAAATGTATCTGTCCTAGCGGATACGGAGGCCAATTCTGCGAGAAAAAGGTAGCTTCTCTCTACAGCTCGAATCTGCAACCATCTTTAAAAGCTTCATTCAGCCACAAGACTGCGGTCGCGAACTGTATGCGACCAAAGATTGGACACCGCTCGTCGACGACCTAGGCAATCGGGCAGCCGGGGGTTTGCCGCGTGAGGACTTTATGAAATGCCACTACTGGATTACGGTACGTAGAAGCAAGCAAATAATCAAAGTGAACAAATTCGAAGATTGCATCTCAAGGCCCCAGCCGGTAAAACGGTGCAAGTGAAATTCGTAAACTTCACTGATGGAATTGCCGTCGATGGATGCACATATGCTGGAGTTGAAATCAAAACACATGAAGACCAACGTCGCACGGGCTACAGGTATGAAGTTGTGAGGGTACAGAGCTTTTACAAAGACTGAAGCCAAGGATACTATTTAGATTCTGCTCAAAAGACGATGCAAACACTATACTCAATTCGACTTTACGCACTGTTCCTATAATAACCTACAATCGAATCTACGCCACTGTCACGAAGTTGGAGTACCGCGCAGTTTAGAGGAGTTCCTCAGTGTTTAGAAAACGCGATTCCATCTAAATAAACTCTTCAGTCTTTACCGTAACACCACAATAACCATTCTCAACAAAGATGGATTGAGATATTCACCTACATACACGTTCTTTTACGCTCCATCGCAACATCTTTTGGTGAGAGGTTTCCATTAGAGCTGCAGTCGCAACATAATCCTTTCACACAGTCATCTGAGTAACACCACCGCGTTCAAATGAGGTACGCAGCCATGCCCACCCAAGGACTAGGAATTTGAGTAGACTCCGTCCTCAACGATGATCTGCTCTCAGTACTCAGAAAACGTTTTATGAGAGAAGGTCTCGCCGAACAGCTCTTTTTTCTAACAGCCAGCCGGATCGCCCGGCTTACGCCGAGCTCTCCGCCTTCTCTTTAGCCCGGCTTCGCCGGGGTGGCCTGGCTTCTATGAGCGCTTTCACGGAAGGGGAAGTTGTCATTCACTGAGCTACTCATGTTGTATTGAACGAATCGTAACATATAGAGCAACCCAGCGAATCCTGAGTCCACGCTTGTTCGCAGAAGAGGTGGTGGTATGGGCAATAACGCCCATACCATACGTTGATCTATAGATACGGATAGAAAGTACAGTCGGATACAGAATGCAGCGCAATATGAGTTGCTCACATGCAATCCATTCGATCATGTCGCACAAAGATTGCAGATGCTAATATTTTTGCTACGTACGTTAGTTGTACATTTTCCTTGTCCCGTATTATTCATTTTCATCAGTTCTTGAACATTTGAAAGTAAAAGGGTGATATCACATTCAAAACATTACCTCGAATTGATACCACGATATGAATTGGTTCGCGACTCTGCTAGTGGTGGGTTCTTCCTTTCTTCCAAGTGATCGCTTTCGCTAAAGTAGCGGTATTAAAGCGCACTTTACCCTTTACTCGTACCACTCACCCTTTACTCGTACCACTCACCCTTTCCTCCCACCCCAGTGCCCCAATCCCTTCCCTGCCTTGATTCCTCCACGCGCTCATTCCAGCTGCCCCGCGAGCAGCTCGTGCACTGAATGCTTGTTTCATATAGTACAGTGTGTAATCACATTCGCAATCTTACCTCAGATTGATAGCACAAAATCAATTGGTTCACAACTCTGCTAGCAGCTGGACCATCTTTTCTTCAAGTTTCCGATTCCCTCTAAATGAGTTGTTCAGTCTTCCGATAATTTCTCCACTGAAACTGCTTTACAGTGATTTGCAGTGAACTTGTATCTCACCTACTGCCACTTCTGAGCCAGTATTGAAATTCATGAATAAAGAGGGAGAAAGAGACCGGCCTTTCTATAGGATTTAGGATGCGCTGAACATTTAAATTGCTTCCGGAATCATCGTAACATCTGGATGTTTGTCCTGTACAGTGACTTCGAGTGTGGGACACTACGTTGCACTACACTGTCAAGAAGAATATCTTTATCTCGCAGATCGCCTGCAGTTGATCTCGTGGTGAAAAAAATTGTTGTGGTGGGAGTCCTGATACCACGCACATCAGGGTACTCGCAGGTAAAGACAGCCCCCGCGCTCAAGTAGTACATGGTCGTTCCTTGTGCAAGTAGTCCAGCCCCCAAGCTAGAGACTATCCCACTCTCGCGACTCCACAGTGAGCGAGGAGCTACAGCCGCTGAAAGTTCTAGTTCTAACGCCCGCCCAGTTGGACCGCCCACTTGCTAGATGCCCTCTGACGGAGGGCAGAGGCAGCGGGCATTAATCGGAAGTGCATGTCCTTTTTGCTGACCGCGCTCGTGCCCATAAATAATTCTGCTCTCCTTTATTACATTTTATTCATTGGGAGCACATGCAGCCAACTGCAACCCATCTCGCAAGGTAAAACGCGTAAAAATCACGAGTGATAAATTTTCGTGGTGCAAAAGCTCGACATGCACTAAAAGATGCATGCTACCGTAACCCTAAATTCGGAAGACTTTTTGAAATTTCCTTTTTTAAGTGTTTTTCGTCCGTGTTTTTGTTGTTTTTCCGTTTCTTATTTTCTTTGCACTGGATGATATCCACTACTGGGAGATGCGATAAAGCGATTTTGAGCCAGGGGTTGCACAGAGATCGCAGGGCAGTGTGACTGTCAGGGAGCCAAGGCTGGATGGCAAGAATGTCGGCGGAGTTGGATTTCTGGTAAACCAGGCAGTGGTCCACCTAGTCGACTCTCACAAAATCGTTAGTCCACGCATCGCTGTTCTACGTCTTCTCACCAAAAATTTATCCATTATCAACGGATATGCGCCCACCTCCGCCGCCACTGACGAAGAACGCGAAGAATTTTACCAGCTTCTGGAAGATACGATTCAGAATGAGAGAAGTTACTACAAGTATGTGGTTGGTGACTTCAATGCCCTTATAGGCACGAACCACAACGGCGATTGGCGACTCGGGCCCCACGAACAGTCGAAACGAGAACGGAGAAAGGCTGCTTGACTTGCTGTCTGCATGTCGCCTTTATCACGGAAACTCTATGTTCGAGAAGCCGATTAGACGACGATGGACCTGGGAAAGTCCAAATGGAGAAACGCGCAAGGAAATTGATCACATCCTAACCAATCGACGCTGGAGCCTATTCGACGTATCAGTACTGCCGTCATTCGATACTGGCTCAGACCACCGTTTGATACGTGCCAAAGTATGTCTCAAGAAGAAATTATTCAAGCGCGACAGGCATAGGCCCTTACCTTCGAGGAATCCCTCCTACAACAGTGAGCAATTGGAAGCTTGCATTGAGGCTCATAGCTGGAATTTGCTGGACGACCCATCAGAAGACTACAAATATCTGGTTGAAGGTCTGTCCAAGTGCGCAGAGCTTTCACGTCTCGCACGATCAGATTCCAACCCAAGGACTCAATGCTGCCGCAACTACTTTGTTGGAAAAAAGGAGGGCAATGAAAATGGACCCCAATGCCACGCACTTGGAAAAAGTCACCATCAACAAGGCATGCCGGTTTGCCGTCAGAGAATCACTCCGAGCTTACAGAAGAACTAGGCTGCTGAAGGCGGCAGAAACAAGATCGAGCATCAAACGCTGCAAACGAGATTTGAACGATCAAAGAAATGTCATTTCAGCTCTTATGGACAAGGATGGAAGAATACAAACATCTAGAAGATCTATCGAGGACATCGTTAGTGAATTCTACACGAAGCTTTTCCGCTCTTCCACAAATGTCCCTGCTCTGTACCGCCTGCTGAAGACCCCCTCCTATTCTGGAATCGGAAGTTGCAAATGCGATAAAAAAGATGAAGAAAGGAACTGCTCCTGGACCCGATGGCATATCTGCCGATCTTCTTCGTGCAGGAGGAAAGTCCCTTCACACACTCCTCGCTGAGCACTTCAGTCATTACCTGCAATTAGGAATGATTCCAGAACAGTGGAGAGAATCGAGAACAGTTCTTCTGTTCAAGAAAGGCCAGAGGGAGGAGATTGCCAACTACCGGCCTATCAGTCTGCTCTCGACGATATATAAGTCGTTCACGAAAATACTGCTCAACCGCATGGAACGCATCTTGGACGACTATCAACCACCAGAGCAGGCCGGCTTCCGCAAGAATTTCTCCTGTATGGACAACATACAGGCAGTAACACAGCTCATAGAGAGGAGCCGCGAGTACCATCTTCCACTTGTCCTCGTCTTTGTGGACTACAAAAAGGCCTTCGACTCAGTGGAGGTTAATGCTGTTCTCAACGCCCTTGTGCGAGCCGGAGTATCCTCTGCCTATACTCGAACAGAGTTTATCGACACATCAACAACCCTGCAACTGTTCGAGCGCAAGGTAAAAGTACCCATTGAGAAAGGGGTACGGCAGGGGGACACGATATCCCCGAAGTTGTTCACGGCAGCATTACAGTATGCGATGTCAAACCTCAACTGGGATGACAAAGGATACTTGATTGTCTGGAAAAGAATGAGCACCGATGATATCGTTTTGATATCCGATAATACAGTCGAAATGGAAGAGATGGTAAACGAGCTCGACATGATTGGTCAGAAGATTGGCTTGGAAATGAATATGTCCAAAACGAAAATGATGGTGAACCACTGGTGTGACGCGGGAACCGTGAAATTGGCAGGAGTTGCTCTCGAAAGAGTGGATTCCTACGTGTATCTGGGAAGAGAGCTAAACATGCTGAACAACATCTCTTCTGAAATAAGCCGCAGGAGGCGTGCAGCATGGGCAGCTTTTGGAACGATTCGTGAAGTAACGGAGCAAATTAAGGACCCTAACCTAAGAGCCTCGATATTCGACGCCACGGTGCTACCAGCGATGTGTTACGCGACCGAAACCTGGCCTGAAAACAGGACAATCACCAAGGCAATGCAAACTACGCATCGTGCACTGGAGAGATGTCTTTTGAAGGTCGGCCGCCGCCAGCAATGGCAACAAGGTCTACGAAGTACAGACCTAAGGGAGCGGTCGAGATTGAAAGATCCGCTGCAGTATATGGCGCAGTGCAAACACCGCTGGGCTGGTCACTTGCTCCGCCGCAACGATGACAGATGGAGTCTCCGCGTCACAGAATGGCTCCCAAGGAACGCAAAACGGCCTCTGGGACGACCACCAACGCGTTGGTCCGACTCGTTTTTGAAATATTTCAGAGAACGCGGTCCACCACATTGGATGCAAGTCGCCAGAAATCGTGCGTTATGGAAGAGCTGTGGTCCCCACTGAAGATCAAGCCAGCTGAAGGACCATCAAAGTATCAAAGTAAGCAAAGTAAGTTTATAAACAGGTGTATGATATCAAAAATATATAGCACTCATATTGCGGGGCCTTTGGTAG